CCGGTCAAATAGGCGATCAGGGCGCGCGGCAGCAAAGGAGGAGGATATGTGTGCATGAGGAGACGTTGCATCGAACGTGCCTTGTGGTGTGGCAGGCTCTGCAGATGACTGAGCGCAGTGCTGGCTGTGTGCAGGTTGGTGTTCGATGCCAGGATGCATGTTGGGAAAATCACAGAGGCAAGCATGGGAACGACATGGCATTGTTTGGAGGAACCGGCGCAGCCTACGTCGTTGTCTTTAATCAATGCCACCTGGGATTGCCGGCGGGGCAGCGGCGAACCCGGCGGAGGATGGCAATGGGCTGGATGGTTCAGCGGGGGGCATTTCCATGTCAGGAGCAGGGAGGCCTACTGGCGGGGCGGCGAGGACTTTCTGGACCGGCGAAGCCAATGGCTTGACAACATCGGAGGCTGTGGAGAAGGCCCCACCTCTGCCACAGCCGAGCCACTCATCATAGCCAAGGTCATTGTGTTGGTATTGCCGTCGCGTCTCGTTCTCGGTCGACTGAAAAGAAGCAGCGCTGGGTATAATATCGTCCACGGCGCCTCCATCCGGGAGCATGGAATCAAGGACGTCATTTGCATCGTGAGGTTTTGGAGAAGGTGCTCGGTCAATCTTGTCGCAACGGGTCGGCGAGGCGCAAATGATGGTTGGTGAAGGACCTGTGCCAGCATGAGACAGTAGGCTTGCATCGACAATCCACCACCGTGCCCCCTGGCACGTTGAAGCGTGCTAGGATGCCAAGTGCTGTCTGGCAAGGTTTCTGCAATCTTTTAAGGCCCCCCACCCTCTACCCGCGTGCAAGGCCTCGCATCACCCCCTCTTCCCGAGGCTCTCTGGGCTGCCTGACGCCTCCCCTGCGCTCTCCAAGGCGTCTAAGATGCCCAAGACGGCTTCCAAGACGGGCTTGGGAGGTCACCAAGGCCGCCAAGATGGCCCAAGATGCCTCCAAGACGGCCCAAGATAGCCCCTATATCCCCTAACATGGCCTCATGACCACCCAAGAGGCATCCAAAGGCCAAAATGATTGATTTCCGTTCGGTTTTCGAATGATTTCCGCATTCTCGCCTTTCCGAGTTTCGATCGGCTCAAGACGGCCCGAGGGGCCTCAAAAAGATGGTCCCACGACGGCCCAAGAGGGCCTCAAGATAGCCCAATTAGCATCTAAGACAGCAAGACATCCCAAGGGGGCCTCTGGAGAACGCAGGACGGACCCAAGAGGGCCTCAAGCTGGCTCCGAAGGGCCGTCGTAGGGACTCAAAACGGCCCAAGAGGACTGCTGGACGCCACAAGACGGCCTCATGACGAACCCCACAGACCCCGCAGACGGTCACGAAAGACCTAAGAGAGCCCAAAGACGGCCCAAGAGGGCCTCAAGACGGGCCAAGAACCAATAGAGCTCCAAGGGATATCCAAGACTGCCCCTCAGGAGCTCCCGAAGAGAAAATGAAAACGAAAGGTGCTGCATGTGACGACGTTCCTCTTCGTCGTCGTTGTCGCCCCCCCCCTCCTCGTCCTCCTCCTCCTCCTCCTCCCCTTCCTCCTATTCCTCATCGTCCTCGTCCTCATCCCCATCATCATCCTCATCGTCGCCATCATCAGAATAACATGCATAATCGCCACCTCCACCATCACCGTCACCATCCCCATCGTCATCGTCATCACCACCACCACCAACATCACCATTGTCGTCGTCATCGTCATCATCACAATCAACAGCCTCGCTATCGTCGTCATCATCGTTATCATGTTGTGCATCCCTCGCGTCCGCCACAATCCTCCTCGTTATCCTCTTCCCCTCTGCGAACCGTCCTCCCCACCCTGTCACGGTCATCGTCTGAGACGTCATTATCATCATCACAATAGTCGTCATCATCATCATCATCATCATCACCATCATCATCATCCTCCTCACCGTCATCACCACCGTCACGTCATCATCATCATGATCATCATCATCGTCATCATCACCACCATCATCGCCATCGTTGTCATAATCACACTCATCATCGTCATCCGCGTCATCGTCGCCACCATCTTCATCGTCATCATCATCGTCATCATCCACACCGATTAGAATAGCTGCCGATGGCAATGCTGGGCTGGCACGGGGGCGGGACTTGCCGCAGGGAACTGGATATTCAATGTGTATTGCGCCACGTTTCGCGTCTCGCGGCCGGGGGAGCACCTCAGGACACAACGGGGGGGATACCCGAGAAGAAAAGAGAGAGAGAGAGGAGACTCGAGCGGAAACCAGGAGAACCAACCAACCTCCTCGCTCCTCGGTCCTCGCTCGTCGCTTCGTGCTCCTCATCGTCTTCCTCCCCCCTTTCGTCCTGTTCGTCATGTCTGCCCCTTCCTAATGCGAATCCTCCTCCTCCTCCTCCTCCTCCTTGTCCTCGTCCTCCTCCTTCTTCGTCTCCTCCAGATCGTCCTTCCTACTCTTCCTCGTCCTCCTCGCGCCGCCGTCGCCGTGGCCGCTCTTGTCATCGTTGGGTGGATTTGGAGGCCTCTCCAAAGTCCTCGTGCTTACCTCTCCCACTCTTTCTTCCTCCTCCGCCTTCTCTGGAAACGCACCGAACTACGACACCAGCGGGGGCGTAGGAGTCGACGACGGTATGCGTGTGGAGGAGATCACGGAGAAAACGGAAGACAACAGCGTGCTGCCTGGACCCGCACGGCCTGCCCATCCTGCCTCCGCGCCGGGTTGTGGGTCAAGAGCATATGGGATGGGTGTTGGCGTCCTGGCGTCCTTTGGGAAGCCTCTGGGGGGCTTCTTGGAAACAATTTTGCGGCCTCTTGGGGGCCGGCTCGGGGCCTCTTGGGGCCTCTTTTGGGCGTCCTGGGGGCATCTTGTGGTCTGTTGGGAGCCTCGTGGGGGCCTGCAGAGGATCTCGGGGGCTTTCCAGGGGCGGAGGGCTCGAGCTGTGAATCCGATTTCCGCCTTTTGGGCCGCCCTTGGGGCCGTTTTTGGCCGTTTTGGGCGCCTCTTAAGCCGTCCTGAAGCCCTCGTGGGCCGTCTTGGGGCCCTCTTGGGCTCCTCTTGGGGTGATCTGGGGGGCCGCAGGGGCCGTTCGGGACTTTGCGACAATCCCAAAGCCGAATCTAATAAAAATGCACGTTTTCCGAAGGGATGGGGACGATTTTTGCTCCTTCTAGGCCCTCTTGGGGCGCTCTTGGGGCTTTCTTGAGGGGTCTTGGTGGCCTCTTGTGCCGCTGTGGGCAGGTCATGGCGGGCTCGGGGGTCTCGCGGCTTCGAGCCGAGCATGCCAACGGCTATCTTCGCCCACCTCTAAGCTGAAATACCCACTCTGGGACACCGAAAACGGGCCCCGCACCGCGAGGGCTAAATTCGGTACCAGGGGGGGGGGGGAGTCCCACCAGCCCTTTGGGCGTGAGTGGTTTAGGGAGCTCTCCCTGTTCTCAACCCCCCTTCTTCCCCTTCGGGGAGGGGTTTACCCCTCCCCCTACCCCCTCCCCCTGGACCTGGAGAGGGGGTTTCGCGGGTCGTCAGGGGGGTCATTTTCGACTCCTGGGAGGGCTAAAAAACGACACCCCTCACGAGGATTCTGGCCCCGACGGGGGTAGGCAGAAAAAATCCTCTCCTCTTCGTTGACGCCAAAATCATTGATTTTACTACGGTTTTGGCCCCATTTTGGCCTTCTGAGGGGGCAGCGCTAATTAAAGCTCCTCTCTTCTTCGCAGGCAAAATCATTGATTTTACGAAGGTTTTGGGCTCATTTTGCCCTTCTGAGGGGGCAGCGCTCATTAAAGCTCCCCTCTTCTTTGATCGATTCCCTCCAAGATGGCCCCAAGAAGCGCCCAGGAGGCACCAAGAGGCCCCAAGATGGCCCCAAGAGGCCCCCAGGAGGCCCCCAAGAGGCCTCCAAGAGGCCCCCAAGATGCCCCCAAGAGGCCCCCAAGAGGCCCCAAGAGGCTCCCCCGAGGCACCCAAGACGCTCCTGGAAGCCCCTGGGGCCGCCAAGAGGCCCCCAAGACGCCCCAAACGGCCTCCAAGAGGCTCCCAAGAGGCCCGAAGAGGCTCCCCCAAGGCACCCAAGACGCTCCTAGAAGCCCCTGGGGCCGCCAAGAGGCCCCCAAGACGCCCCAAAAGGGGACGAGGTGCCCGAACGCCTCACGCCACGAGGAGCCCGAACGACTCACACCAGGACGAGGGGCCCGAACGACACGAAGAGCCCGAACGACTCACACCAGGACGAGGGGCCCGAACGAACTCACACCACGAGCCACGAACGAACTCACACCGAAGAGCCCGAACGACTCACACCACGAAGAGCCCGAACGACTCACACCAGGAAGAAGGGCCCGAACGACTCACACCAGGACGAGAAACCCCAAACGACTCAAATCACGAGGAGCGCTTTCTCTCCCTCCTCCTCCGCCTCGTCCTTCTCCCGCTCCCCCCACAAGGAGGATGTACAAGGAGGCGGGAGGAAGGAGGAACAGGGGAGATATGCGGGGGCAAGCGGACACACGCCTGACAAACACGACTGTCGGCATGCTTCGCAAGAGTTGCTGTTGTGAGATGGGCTGGTGGGGGTACGCGAAGCGTAAAGAATTTGGAAAAAGTGTGCGGCCCCGGGGCCCGGGGCCCTGGACGCCCGTTCTATTATATAAGATTTCTCGGTACGCGCGTCGCCCCTGGGGGGGCGGCGCACACATAGTATTTGTATGTTGGGGTAACGCCAACTTCAATACAACGCAGGCGGGACAGTGAGGGCCGACACATGCTACCCTGAGATCCGACGCTGCGACAAAAAAAGGCCACATCGCGGGAAAAAAAACACGCGACCGGAACACTAGACTGCAGCGCGGTGCGGTACATTTCAAGCTGGATCGATCTGTGATGGCCCCAGGCCCGAAACCTGGCGAAAACACCAAGTGTGAAACAAATGCTGCACCCAGATCTCAAGGCTGTGGGCGAAGCTGAGCGGGGCAAACAATAATTGGGTTCACACATGTCCTTCAAATCATCGAGCCTTGGAACGCATCGGGGAGGCGTCTCCATGCCGAGCAGCTCGGGCGCCGTGAGCGCCTCCACCACGTACCGACCGAGCTCGCGGCTGTCCAGGCGAGGCTTGGTGGAAATCCCCGCGACGAGCGTCTTCATGTCGGGGAGGCCGCCGGGAACGTCACTGGGAGAACGATGCCCAAAAGGCCTGCGGATCCTGCTGGGCACACACCGACACGGATCGGGAAACGTAGAACCATCACAACCCCAGAAACATGTCGAAAATGCCGCCTGATCTGGCGACGGAGCGGGCCAATTTGGTATGGAAACGGGAGCCGTCGCCAATCCGTGCGCCTTGACCCATGTGCTGGGGATCCCAAAACCGTGTGGTGATAGACCGTGCGGTGACCTCGGAACCCCAAGAGACCTCACCGCAGGGACAGTCACTGCACGGTCTTGGGACCCTGGAGGCCCCTGTCGCCCAAGACATCCTCGGAGAGGGACTCGAGTAACAAAACCGTGCAATGACCCCGAATCCCCACCGACTCACCACACGGTGTGGTCACCACACCGTCTGGGGGCCTCCGAATGTTTGTGCCTCCTCGATCCTGCCTGGGCTAAGAACACCAGAGCCCGGCACCTGCATGGCCCGGAGCGGAACACTGGAGCGACCTGCCCGCGCCGGGGCGCCCGCGAGCCACCCTGGGAGTCGAGGGCTGCTGCGGTGCGGGCGGCGCGCTGGCTGCCTGCACTCGGCTGCACGTCAAAGTGGCCCTAGGCAAGAACGGCCTTTGGTGCACGCCTTTAGGGGGCACGGGGTGGCCGAATCCATGTGGGTAAGCCGCTTCAGGCCACCCCGACTTCGGATCCGCCGTACTGTGAGCGATCTCGCAAGCAGTGAGGAGATTTCCGTCCTACTTTTCAAGATCTCATTTGATGCTGATGTCCACTCTACTTTGCCGTCGCTGTTTCCGCCGTACCTTTGCGGAAGTGTTCACCCCAGAGCTCTTCCGAGGCGGAGATATCCGCCCTACTTGTTCGCATCGTTGGCCGCGCACTTCTGCCACAATCCTACGTCGGGAGATTCCCCACCAAAGTACTGTGGGGCTCGGAGTCGGTGCTTGGGCCCGCACCAAGGGTCACTCCGGCGAAGGGTCACTCTCACGCGTAGCTGCCTCCACCCACGCGAGCGCCCGCCGTGATCTCTGGGGCTGCTCGCCGACGGCCAGAAGCCAGCCGCCCATGGGGCTCGCCATCCCTGGAGGGCCTCGAGGAGCGGTGGCCGCGGTGCGCAGCTTGGGATGCAACTTCTGAGATGTCTTCACGAGAGCGATTGAAGGCTACTGGGCCCGATTGACGGGCCGCTGAGCCAGATTGGCCCAGATTGAGCCCAGATTGAGCCCAAGATGAAGCAGAATTGGGCCAGATTCTACGGGGCTGAGCGAAATTATACGGGATTGGGCAGGATATGGTCTGCTTTCGGCAACAGGTGTACCAGCGCCGACGCTGATTTGAACCTCCCAGGAATTGCATCCTAACGTAGCGCAGGGCGCCTAGACCCTCAATTTTTGGAAGTGGCTTTTGCGTCAAAAATGGCTGCGCACGGAAATTGGCATGAACTGACACGGGGCGGGCCGAGCTGCGGTGAGCGCAAGTCACTTGCGCTCACCGCAGCTCGAAGGTAAGCGAAGCGCAGCTCAATGCAGCACTTAGCTCACCGCAGTCACATGCGCTCACCGCACGTGGGCCGCGCTGAGCGAAGCTGCGCGAAGGCAAGCGAAACCTCGCTAAGCGAAGCATGCTGGCGACCATGACGAGTGAATCTCCGACAGGCGACGACGCCGAGTGTACTCTGGCGAATGTGGGGATGCTGCGCGAGCCCAGTAGCGACCTGGGAACCTGAGGGATCGGGGCCGTGGAAGAGGAGGGGGGGGGGTCAGAGGGGCGAGACCTTTCCTGGCCCCGCGCATGTGCGTCTGCGACAGCGCCGCGCCCCGACCATGTGCATGGCAGCACCGCGTGCCCGTGGCCATGTGAGCGGCTCCAGAAACTCCGAATCCAAACATGCTGACGTCTCACGTCTACCTCCGCAGCCCTCTGCCGAGTCTCCGCCGGCTTCCGCTGGCGGAGCCGCCGCCGTTCTGCTTCTGCCAGCTTCCCCGCGGGCCCTCCGCCACCTCCCGCCGAGGGCGAGCGAACGAACCAACGAACGAACGCTGGAGTCGTGCGGGCTCCAATGAGATGCTCGCTCGTGCCCATGAAGGGATGGCGTGGAGGCCGTGGCCTCGACAGGAAAATGTTCTGTTCAAACTTGCGAAACGTATGCCCGCTCATATGATGACCACCACTCTGTGCACCGAAGGCGAGCCGCGCCGAAGGCGCTGCCCTTGCTGGAACGCGCCAGGTGCTCCCGCGGGCCTCGTGTCGTGACAAAAATAAACCGCAGGTGCGATGATGACGGCGGCGGAGGGAGCAGAAGCCTCCTCCCCCTTCCTCCTCCTCCTCCTCCTCCTCCTCCTCCTCCTCCCTCCTCCTCCTCCTCCTCCTCCTCCTCTTCTTATTCTGCTTATTATTCATATTATTATTATTCTTCTTAGTATTATTATTATTAGTATTAGTATTATTCTTCTTCTTATGATTATCATTATTATTAGTAGTATTATTATTAACATTATTATTAGTACTATTATTATTCGTATTATTATTACTATTCTTCTCTTCTTATTCTTATTATTATTATTAGTCGTCTTCTTCTTCGTCTTTTTCTTATTATTATTATTAATAATAATTTTAGTATGATTAGTAGTAGTATTATTAATGATATTGTTATTATCATTATTATTATTCTTATTATTAATAGTATTATTAGTCTTATGTTTCTTCCTCTTATTCGTATTTTTATTATCCTTATTATTATTAGTATTAGTAGTATTATTATTATTATTATTATTATTCGTAGTATTCTTCTGCTTCGTATTATTGTTCTTCTTCTTCGTCTTATCAATAGTATTCTTATTACTCTTCTTATTAGTATTCGTCTTCTGAGTAATATTTTTCTTAGTATTAGTATTATAAGTATGAATATTATTATGTTTGTTATTAGTCTTCTTATTATTAGTATTCGCCCTCTGATTCTTATTAGTATTCTTCTTATTATTCTTATTATTATTCTTCTTAGTATTATTATTATTATTATTATTCGCATTCGTCTTATTATTCTTCTTCTTATTATTATTATTATCCTCCTCCTCCTCCTCCTCCTCCCTCCTCCGCCTCCTCCTCCTCCTCCTCCTCCGCCTCCGCCTCCTCCTCCTCCTCCTCCTCCTCCTCCTCCTCCTCCTCCTCCTCTCCCTCCTCCTCCTCCTCTTCCCTCCTCCCTCCTCCTCCGTCCTCCGCTGCTCTCCTCCTCCGCCTCCTCCTCCTCCTCCGCCTCTTCCTCCTCCTGCTCCCTCCTCCTCCTCCTTCTCCTCCTCCTCCTCCTCCTCCTCCTCCTCCTCCTCTTCTCCTCATCCTCCTCCTCCTTTTCCTCCTCCTCCTCTCCTCCTCCTCCTCCTCCTCCTCCTCCTCCTCCTCCTCCTCCTCCTCCTCCTCCTCCTCCTCCTCCCCCTCCTCCGCCAGGAGTCCGCTTCTCTCCCGAGGGCGCAGCGTCCACCTCGCGAAGCGGGGCCGCCTCCAGCCAGGCCCGCCACTCCTCGTCCGCCTGCAGCGTGCCACGGTCGCCCACCACGATCAGGGCCCGGCGCGCACGCGTCAGCAGCACGCACATGCGCCGGGGGTCGCCGGCGAACCCGGTGCGGCCCTCGGCGTTGCTCCGCACGGCCGAGAACACGACGAACTCGACCTTCAGAGGGAAGAAGACACGGCTTCCCTCCCTACTCCCCAGATCTCCGACGATGTGACTTTTTCGGGTTGGCCGCTCTTCCTCGATTTCGGCTCCCGGGGGCCGTTCTCGGGCCTCAGGACCATCAGAAATGGATATGGGCACAGCACCTACCCCTGGGGAGCGGGTCGGAACCTCTGGGGCCGCGCATTGAAAAAAAATGAATCAATAACCTCGGATGCCTGGACTACTTCCCCATTTTTTCGCACGGGATCGCATACATGATACTGCGGGGCTCGTTGCTCCCACTTCGCAGCAGGTGGGGGGGGCAGCAGAGTTGCGAATGGAGCACGTCGTCGCCTCGCTCCTCTGGACTTCAGGGGGCTCCCCGCCCACCGCACCCTGCAAGCAAAAGTTGGCAGCGGAGAGAGGGCACTACCTCTGCAGGAGAGGCGGCATGAACACACACTGGAAAGCGTTTTCTTATTCGGCGTGTCGACATTGGGCGGAAGGGGGGGGTCTGGCTCCAGACCTCTGCTTAGCGCAACTGTTTGCAACAGTGCGCCCTGTGGGGGAAGCCCCAACTGCTCGAAACGGGCGCCAAAGACAGCCGAGATCTACTCCACGGGGGAGGGGGGAGGGGGGGGGTGCGAAAGCCCGCGCCGTTCGGCAAAACAATGAATAAGACTACACCAAAGAAAAACCGAATCAATGGATGGTTTTCGCTGAGGAGATCGACCGGGAACCTGGGAGCCCGGGAACCCAAAACCCACCGAAATCGGCCCGGAACCAATAACTGGGAACCCCGGAATCCGGAACCGAACCGGGAACCCGGGAACCCAGCCTGCTACCAACATCGGCGGGAAACTTTCGCCAAGTCATTCAACTTCCGCTAGGACCCCTTCAGTGCAAGCACTGATTGGGGAAAAACGCTCACCTGTGGGAGGTCCGCGTAGAACTCTCGGATGGGCGCTGGATCTCCCTCCCTGCCGTGCGGAGCGCGCTGTAGGGGCGGGCGCCGAGGGGCGGCGCCAAAGGGGGGGGGGCCTGGCGCCGACCGACCCTCCGCGCGGAGTTCCGAGAGTTCTGGGGGATCAAAAAGGTACTGACGCCAATAACAACAAAAACAAACAACAACAACAACAACAACAACAACAACAACAACAACAACAACAACAACAACAACAACAACAACAACAACAACAACAACAACAACAACAACAACAACAACAACAACAAAAAAAACAGCAGTAACAACAACAACAACAGCAACAACAACAAGAAACAAACACAACGACAACGACAACAACGACAACAACAGCGACAACAACAATAATAATAACAACAACGACCACAGCAACGACAACAACGACGACGACAACAACAACAACAACCACAACAGCAGCATAAACAACAATAACAGCAACCACAACCGCAACGACAACAAACAACAACAGCAACAGCAGCAGCAACAACGAAGTAACAACAACAACAACAACAACAACGGCAGTCACAGCAACAACAACAAAAAAAACAAAACAAAAAACAACACATCAGCAAAATAAGCAATCACAACAACAACTACAACAGCAGCAGCAACAACAACGAAGTAACAACAACAACAACAACGGCAGCCACAGCAACAACAAAAAAAACATCAGCAAAAGAAGCAATCACAAAAACAACTACAACAACAACAGCAGCAGACATAACAACAGCAGCAGACATAACAACAGCAGCAGCAGCAACAACGACAACGACAACGACAACGACTACTACTACTACTACCACCACTACTCCTACTCCTACTCCTACTACTACTACTACTACTGCTACTACGACTACTACTACTACTACTACTACTACTACTACTACTACTACTACTACTACTACTACTACTACTACTACTACTACTACTACTACTACTACTACTACTACTACTACTACTACTACTACTACACACCACAACAACACAACCACAACCACAACCACAACCACAACCACAACCACAACCACAACCACAACCACAACCACAACCACAACAACAACGGCGACGACAACAACAGCAACAACAACAACAACACCAGCAGCAGCAGCAACATTTGGGGGTCAAAAAGGTACCGATACCGTTACTCCGTGGACCTCTCCTACAGTCAGGTGAGTACTGCTGGTCGTAAAATTCTAAACTGCAGAGGCCCGAATCGGAGGCGTTTTAGGACATGTGTCATGTTTCGAGCACCGACCGACAACGACGACCGTCCGACAAGCCGACGGATCGACCGACCGAGACTACGGCGAACAACAAAAACGACGACGACCAACAAACTGACCGACCGACCGAGGCGACGACGACGAAAACGACGACGATGATGACGACGACGACGACGACAACCGACGACGACCGACACACTGACCGACCGACCCAGAACCTACGACCGACGACCGACCGACCGACCGAGTGACCGACCGACCGATGGATCGACCGAGACGACGACGACCGACGGACCGACCGACCGACCCACGGACCGACGATCGACGACTGGGCTGACCGACCGACCGACCGAGACGACGACGAACCGACCGACCGACGATCAGACCGACCGACCGACCGACCGAGGATCGACGCCCGACGACCGACGACCGACCGAGACCACGATGAGCGGCGACGACCGACCGACCGACCGACCTGACCGACGGACCGACAAACAGCAAGCGCACCAGCGCGTGCGAACTGGCCCCGTTTGGGAACGAAGTGTGATTACAATGCTAGGACCGCCGCCCCCCTGGCCGCCCTTCCCTCCCCCAACCTGCATCTTCAGGCCGAAAATGTCTTCCTTCCGGAATAAAATATGACAACAGACTCAATCGGAACCCTTTTCTGTGTGTAGCTGTGTAGCGGGTTCGTAGATCATATTTCTATGTTGCGCGGATCCAGTTTCACGTGTGTAAGAAAGCAAGGTTTCTGTTGAAGTAAACCTGTAAAAAATAATGTGTAGCCTGGACCCACAGGACATTGGATCCACGGGGCACTGCACGTGGGGCATCATGTTATCCACGATCCACGGAGCAGTGGCCCTGCAGACGGATGCTATGATTATACGGGGGAAGGGTTTCCCTAGGGTGAAGAGGAAGGAGAGGGGAGGAGGGAGGAGGCAAGGGAAGGGGAGAGGAGGAAAGAGGGGGACAGAGGTGAAAGGGGGATATCGGAGGACGAATGGAGGAGGAGGGGGAGGGGGGGAGGAGGGAAGAGGAGGAGGAGGAGGAGGAGGAGGAAGGAGTGAGGCGGAGGGAAGAGGCAGGAGGGGGGAGAAGACGGGAGGCGGGAGGGGGTGGAGGACGAGTGGGAAGAGGAAGAAGAAGAGGAGGAGGAGGAGAAGGAGGAGGAGGAGGAGGAGGGAGGACGAGGCGGACGAAGCCAAATCAAGTGTCAAGGTCGAAAGCTCGAGCGCCACAGCGGGCCCAGCCACCTCCTCCAACCCCTCCCATACCATGTGGGTGCTCGAGCGCCACAGCGGGCCTGACCATCACACAAGCTCCTCCCATAACATGCGGTTGCTCAAACGCCGCGGCGGGCCCCGCCAACTTCCGCATCTCATCCCAGAACATGTGGCACGCCCGGATCCGAAGCGAGCGCAACATACATCCGTTCACTTGAACGGCGCGGCGCTTCCGACATCTCGGGCTCAAGAGCAAAGTCTCTCGGCCCGCATACGCACCTGTCCTTCAAAACCATATGCGGGGTGTGGCTCCAGCGCTGTATAGTTACGCTCCAGCAGCGCATGCCTACAAGACAGATGGGCTCCAGCACTCTAATTTTACGGGGGAAGGAAGGTGGTTCCAGCAGCCCGCGGCGTAGACTCCAGCACCGAAGTTTAACGAGGGACAGTGGTTCCTGCTGAAACCACCGCCCCTCGCACAACATGCGTCAGAACTTTCACCACCAATCATTCACCTGACTGTAGGGAGCGTTCTGACCAGGACTTCGAAGCGAAGCCAGCCGTGGCGACGAGGGAAGGGCAGCGGTGTCCGTACACCTTCCCCCTCCGCAGATCTGATGTTTGTAAATATGGTTCTGTCCTTCGGACCTCGCAGCCCTGGAAGCCGTCGACGGTGAGGACACGCGGGTGCGGCTCCTTTAACAGGGGATATGTCGACCCCTATATCAGGCTTCGTCGGATTTTCGAATGGACCAGAAATTTAAGGCCCAACTCTGGGATGTACGATGGGGGACCATCCGTCCTCGTTAAGGGGTGCGTCCGAACAGCCCCCTTGGGGTGTATCCCAAAGTTTCCCCTCTTCTGAGCGGCCAAACTTTCCGGGCGGAACTCGGGGATCGGCTACACGCAAGAGTGACCCTCGGTAAGAGTGACCTTTGGTGCGCGGATTTGCGGGGGCCGCGGGAGGGCCAAACACAAGCGCGCAGGACGCTACTACCGCATCGAGTTCGGTAATCGGGGGACCCCAATGTGCCCGCACCATAGGCCACTCCGGCGAAAGGTCACCCTTATGTGAGTGTGGTCGAGGGGACTGAGGGGAAACACTGGCCGCGCTCCTCCTCCGCGGGGTCCAGGCCCTGCAGCAGGAGCGCGGCCCGCTCATACCACCTGCGGGCCCTCTGCGCCGTGCCCCTGCCGTGGAGGGCGCGGGCGAGGAGCTCCCGCTGGGCGCTGTAGGGCGTGAGCACGGCCACGCTCTCCTCGGCGGCGCGCCGCCCGACCCAGACCTCCGACGGGTCCAGGCTGCGGGCTCCTCCTCCTCCTCCTCCTCCTCCTCCTCCTCCTCCTCCTCCTCCTCCTCCTCCTTCCTCCGCCTCCTCCGCCTCCTCCTCCTCCTCCTCCGCCTCCTCCTCCGCCTCCTCCGCCTCCTCCTCCCCCTCCTCCTCCTCCTCCTCCTCCTCCTCTTCCTCCTTCTTCCCGACGACACCGAAGCACGAAGGCAGCAGCGAGGCACTGAATTAAAAAGAGGAGGAGGAGGAGGAGGAGGAGGAGGAGGAGGAGGGCACGAAGCTCGGCGGGCCGGTTGGGCTTCAACCACGCCTAAGCCTGCATGCGATGGAGCGCGGCCAACCTCACGGAGGCCCGCTGGTCGACGCCCACGGCCAGCCCCACGTCCATCCTGTACTTCTGGATGTGGTAGCACTGGCACATGAGGCCGATGGTGAAGATGCAGTCCACGTGGGACCGCTTCGTGTGGTACAGCTCGTCGCCGAGCCCGAGGAGCTCCAGGCCACTGCCGATGGCGTCGGCACCCCCATCGCCCGCGGCCATCGCCCGCAGGGTCGGGCAGAGAACGTAGTGCTCCAGCGCGTCCTCACCGTCGCAGCCGAAGATGCACTGGCGAGCGTCGATGACGGCGCTCATGCGACGCGAGGTGGTCCAGCCGTTGACCGCCGTGCGCAGCCACGACCACATCCAAGCTGGGCGGACCTCCGTCAGCTTGCAGCGCAGCGGAGGCCATCTCTCACGCAGGACGGGCAGCGGGCAGTCGATCCCCCACCTGCGGAGCCGGCGGTGGATGATGGCGACGAGGTCCTCAGGGTACAGCATGCCACGGAGCGCTGCAGCAGCCGCGGCTTGGCGCTTGGGCTTCCTGGCAGGGGTGGCAGCGGCCGCGTTCTTCGTCTCCAGGAGCATCGCCGTCTTCGCCTTCAAGATGCACCTGCGCGGGATCGGGATCGAGAGCGAGTCCAGCGTCGGCCTGGGGATGTCGAGCATGTCGAGGGAGTCCGAGACCATGGCGTAGTTCTGCACGATCGCCCTTCTCGTACGCCACCACGGTGGTGACCAATTGCCCTTGATCACATCGGTCAGTGGTACGTGTTCCACCGCAGCTTCATGTAGGTGGCGGAGGTGCACATCCCAGCCCCTCACCGTGTTCTCCGCAGAACGCATCATCGCGGCGATCGTGTACGGGAAGAGGCCAATCGGCGCCGGCGAGCCACACCACGCACTCATCGAGAGGATGTCCGCCTTGCGCATGGAAGACGGTGGCAGTCGCAGCAGGCGGTGCAGGGAGGTGAACTCGACCTTCCAGATGGCGGGCACGATGAAGTAGAACTGAGCCAGGTACGAGAGGCACGGCAGCGCGTTGATGTTGTATGCACGGGCAGCAAGGCTGGTGGCCATGCCCGTGCGCGCCAGCTCCCAGCAACGGGACCACCACTTCCCCGCCGCGGCCTTCCAGATGCCAAAGTCCGTGACGCCAGGGCCCAGGTAGGTCCCGAGGTACTTGGCCGATGAGTCGATGCGGAAGCCACTCCAGCGTGGGACCGCCCCCGCAAGGAATGACTTGACGTTTTGCAGTGTGTTGTCCGTGATCTCCTCCCACAGCGGGACCAGCACGCACTTGTGGAGTGCCAGCTGCAGATTGAAGGCGAACTCGATTGAGACGAAGGTGCGATCGATGCTCGGGAGGGCGACTGCGTTCTTGATCAGCATCCCGAGGTCGTCCGCGCAGGCTGTGAGGGATCCGTGCTCGGCGATCGCTGCTAGCAGGGCGCGGATGGGAGCATCCATGGCCAGACACCAGACCGTGCCAGAGAGCGGGCATCCTTGCATGATGCCGCACATGAGCGCAAACAGTGGCTCCAGCTCCGCGCTGGTGCCCTCGGCTCGGAAGGAGCTGAAGGCGAGGCAGTTGCTGTAGAGCGCCATGATCACGTTGCGAAAGCCCAGCGGAACCCCGTAGCGCGGGAGGACCTTCTCGATGACTTCCCTGAAGAGCGATGGGAAGGCCTGGCGGAAGTCGAACGACAGGAACATGGGGCGGCGGGCCGCAGCATCAGGAAGGAGTCCTTCCCTGCGGCATTCTGCGTCCAGGAAAGGGATGTGGTCGACGAAGCGCCGCCCCGCAGTGAAGCCCTTCTGCTCGGGTGAGGTAGATGATGTGGCAATAGGCTGCAGTCCTCGATCCGCGCATGCCGCAATCAGCTTGGCGTCGCAGTTCTTGAGGGAGAGAGTGCGCACGGTGGATGCCGTGCGAGTGCATGAGTCAGGGACGTCGTCCTCCTCCGTGCCCTTGGGGACGCAGATGAAGATCGACCAGTTGAGGTCGAGCGGGGCGACTCCGTCGTTGAAGATGGTCTCCATGAGTCCGTGGAGATGCTGCAGCGCACCAGGACTGCGTCGCCATGCGGCGTACGTGAGTTGGTCAGGTCCCGCAGCGCTTGGAGGTGCTCTGCTGACCGCTCGTTCGAGGTTGTGGAGGGCAGGTTGGGGAAGTTCCACCACCGGGTACCGCGGTGCATGCTTGTCCAAGAATGAGTCCATGGTCTTGAGCTGCTCATCGTTCGGCATCTTCGCGAAGATCTCTCCCCAGTAGTTCGCCACAATCGTCTTCATGCCCGCGGGGTCGGAGACCACATGCTGAGCCACCTGCGAGTCCTTGGCGGTACACGGTGTAGAGTCCACGCGCAGGCCAGAGAGGATCATGCGACGCCGCCAGGGGACCCACAGCTGAGCGTGTCTGGCGGCCTTACGTTCAACTCTCCGCCAGGCTGCGCTGTCGCGCACGTTGGCTGTCCGAGCTGCGGCCTCCGCCACTTGTCTTCTCATAGAGTGCACCCGCTCAGCAATTTCGTCGAAGTTGGTAGCAAAGCTGTTGGTGTCCACAATGTGCACGGTGCCGTCGGTGACTTTGAGGTGGGTCGCCAGCGCGGGGCAGGAGTCAAGAAGCCTGCCCGCCAGGACGGCGCCCTGTCGCCAGACGGCTCTCGCCGCCGATTTGAAGCCCATGCACGAGGTCTCGGCCGTGGAATCCTTGACGCGGAGGGAGAAGTTGGTTCTCAGCTGTTCATCCCGCACACGTCGAGCGGCTAGCTTCATGCACTGCTTCGCTGCTCTCCAGCGACCTTCCGCCGTTTCCCCCTCTAAGGAACAGTGCGCCAGCATGAGCGAGTAAGCCTCGGGGTACTTCTTGTGGTTGAAGAGGTGTGTCGGAATAGGCTGCTCGTCTCGCGGGACGTGTCGAGCAGCAGTGATCTGCAAGACGAGGGGCGCGTGGTCGCTGATGCCAGCCTCGGAGAGCTCCATCGCATCCCTCGCGGTGGTCAGGATCGTTGAGACCGACAGCATTGCATGCGCGTCAATCCCCACGAAGATGCGGTCGATCGTGGACAGCTGCTTGCAGGACTTGTCGTAGTGAGTCGGCCATTGTGATTCAATCTCCAGAGCAGCAGCAAAGAGGCGCCGCCACGCAGGTTGACGAAGTTGGCATCGATTGTCAGGTCGTAAGCGCCACGCCGTAGCGTCAGAGGGCGCGCGTTGGCTGACTGGCGGGCGAGAGGCAATATTGAAGTCCCCGACGGCCAGAAAGACGCGGTGCAGGGAGTCGCGGCGCGCCCAAGTCAGGCCATTGGACCAGGTGCGCTGAATGGCGGAAAACTCGTGCGGCTTGAGGTCGTAGTTGTGAATGTTGAAGATCTGCATGCTGTACTTGCCCGTGCTGTCGGTGATCGTGAGGAGCGCCGCTCGTCCAGCGGCCACAGAGACGAAGCTGTAAGACGGTAGGGCTGGAGTGGCGTTCCGTGAACTTGACCGGGCGTCGATTGGCTTCGTCGTGGGCGTCGGAGGGGGACTTCGTGAACTTGACCGATTGGTGGAGCGACTTGTAGCCGATGAAGACGAGGGGGTACGTGAACTTGACCAGGGATCTTGAGTCGGTAAGGATGCTGCAGGGGGCGCGGCGCGCGCATGGGAACCTTCCCGCGGCGCGGCACCCCTGCATCCCAGAGATTCGGCTCTGGGTCCTTCCGCCCTTGGACATTCATCGATGATGCGAGGGACGAGAAAGGCAACACCACCCACGGCGGCGGTGGGGCCAGGGGAGAGGAAGCTCATGTAGTTCTGCGGCTGCGCCTGGAGGAAGATCCTGAGCGCGTCCTCGGAGCCGTGGACCTCTTGCACCGCGATGATGGCATTGACCTTCATGTACGATGCGAGCAGCGCCTGCTTGCGTCTGCGCAGCCTGGCATCCGAATGGAGTAGGCCACGAGCATTCCACACGACCATGTGAAGGCCACGAAAGCCATGTCGTGCTCCAGGAGGGCGCCAGGGCGCCCACAGCGGCGTGCTAAATCCACTCGGTATTGTCCTCCACGGAGAAGGCCTTCTTGAACTGCGCGTTGATGGACTCCCTGTCGATGTGCAGCCTGGCCACCATGTCTGGGTTCCACCTGATGATCGTGTCGATGTGTCGGGATTCGCCCATCTCGAGCTTGGCAACCTTGACGCCCTGGGAGGTGACGATGCCCCGTGCTCGCTGCGCACTGAAAGAGATGCCAGGATAAGCTTCTGCGAGCAAAGTCGAGAGCCTCCTCGACTGGATCTCCATTCGCACTTGCTGGGGCGACTTGTCGGGCGAGATGTACAGCGGGACGGTGCCTCCTCCGACGCTCTGCGCGCAGAAAGCACGCCACCCGTTCCTGCCAGCGGGGTCTCGAAGCTGCCGAGCGAGGGCTTGGGCACGGGGTAGAGCGACGCCGTCGCCACCCTGCACAAGGACGTTGAAGCGTTTGGATGGGACAGCGGGGTCGAGGCGGACCATGTCATTGGTGAGGCCAGCAGCGCGAATCCACTCTTCGAGGCCTTGCAGCGCCTGCGCGGGACCAACCAGCTGCGGAGCGCCGATCGAGAAGACCCTCGGGTTGGGCTGGCGGCCCCACGCCTCCAGCTCTTGGAAGTCCATGAGGGGGAGCTC